CGGGCACACAGCGTCACTTCACCCAATCAGCTTGAAGTATTCTGCTGCTTATCCCTCCTTTCCCCGAAAGGATTCTCCTGCAGAAGTCCCAGATTGATATTGTGGAGAACGCATTAGAGTTCTCCACAATCATCAATCTGGCTCTTGCCAGGTTAGAACAGGTTAGCAACACGGTCAAACAGGTTAGCAACGCGGTCAAACAGCAGAGCAACGGGGTCAAACAGCATAGCAACGGGGTCAAACAGGTTAGCAACGGGGTCAAACAGGTTAGCAACGCGGTCAAATCCAGCAGGAAGGAGTAAAAAAGGCAAATGTATTCTTACCTGGATGAGGGACATGTTGCTGAGGTCGAGTCTGAAGAGGTAATTTCTGGAAAGAGACAAGATAAACAAAGTTGGACTATAAATACTTGAATGCTAAATATTGTGTTTCCTTGTTTACCGCGAGGGTTACGATAAAAAATGTACTCGGAATAAGTGAAATTCCTGAAGTTGTTTCTCACATTTTATACACGTTTTTGACCTGAAGAGCGAGAGACCAGAGAGAGAGCAGAAAGAGAGCTGAGAGAGACCAGACAGAGAAACCAAAGAGAAACCAGTAAGAGACCAGAGAGACCAGAGAGAGACCAGAGAGAGACCAGAGAGAGACCAGAGATAGACCAGAGATAGACCAGAGATAGACCAGAGATAGACCAGAGATAGACCAGAGATAGACCAGAGATAGACCAGAGAGAAACTAGAGAGAGACCAAAGAGAAAGACCAGAGATAGAGGCCAGAGAGAGTGACACCTGAAAGAGAGACTAGAAAGAGAGACCTGGAAGAGTGAGACCAGAGAGAGAGACCCCCTGACAGAAAAAAAGACCTCTGAACTTATCATCCCGGTGCACACAAGCCACATACGTTTTCTTCTGACTTTAAATAACCTAACTGTCTTGTGATACTTGCAGTTATATGATTTTGTTTAAGATGTTGTTGGACTATAAACACACTGCATATTGTAAACCGCTGTAAATAAATTCGATTAAGTTAGTACTGTTTTTGAGACTGTTCATAAATGTCTTTTAATGTTCTGGATCATTCATTTCCTTGCAAAAAAAACTCTCCAAAAAGTAAAAAAAAGTCTTCTTTGTGATGCTGAACAGATCTGCCATTCATAAAAACTCTTACAACTCTTACAGCTGAAGGTTCAAAATTGCCCATGAAATCGCCTTTGCTGGTGTCCTGGGACATGGTTTAAAGCCTTTGCTGGTGTCCTGGGACATGGTTTAAAGCCTTTGCTGGTGTCCTGGGACATGGTTTAAAGCCTTTGCTGGTGTCCTGGGACATGGTTTAAAGCTTTTGCTGGTGTCCTGGGACATGGTTTAAAGCCTTTGCTGGTGTCCTGGGACATGGTTTAAAGCCTTTGCTGGTGTCCTGGGACAAGGTTTAAAGCCTTTGCTGGTGTCCTGGGACATGGTTTAAAGCAGACCTAAAACCCTGACCTCATGAGAACATTTGGAGAATTTGGATCGTGGCAAATTTAATCCAAACCTGGTTCTTGGGCCAACATGACGGTCCCTCCTGCTCAGACCAGTCCACACCAGAGGACTTTGAAACTGTGCTGAGAGGAAAGGGTTTCATATTCAATTTAAATACAAACAAAAGACTTTCGATAAATATAAAGAGGAGGAAATTATATGTCACTAGGGGGCGCAATCGGGCTAAAATAAATTGGTGTTTGGTTTTGTTTTGTTTTTCGTTTAGTTGCTTATTATAGTCATTATGATCTTTATTGACCTTGAAGAGTGATGTTGCTTTAAACAGTTGCCATTATTTGTCGTTAATATTGCTGTTATCGTCTGTTCTTTCTTGTTTATTTTTTTTACATTTGCATAGTTGCTGTTCTATGTAAAGTGTGTATATTTTCATGTAGTGTTTTTGTGGGGGGGGGCACCAATAAGCTTTTGCTTCGGCCCACTCCTTTCGAGCAGTACTTGTCTGCTCAAATAAACAAATAAATAAAAAAATAAATAAATTCTCCTCGATCCAGTGAACGTGGAGCTGGATGTGGCTCTTACCTGGCGACCGCAGTCTACTTTCATAACTCTGTAATCTGTAATAAAATAGGTCCTAATGGTAGACGTTTGATAGCGAATACAGCGGCCGTGCCAAAGGTTACAGTATTATTTAAACAAAGCAGTGATGTGTAATGCATTTGGGAGTCAGATGATCTAATAGGGTTAATGTACAGTTATACGGCTTTGTACACAACAGAACACACAACATAAACTTAGGTCCACTTTGATAAATGCCAAAAGGTTTATTTAATGACAGAAAATAAAATAGTTCCCAAAGGTTTTCCCGTGGCCATGCGAGTAACAGTTAGGCTAGTAACAGTTAGGCTAGTAACAGTTAGGCTAGTAACAGTTAGGTTAGTAACAGTTAGGCTAGGAACAGTTAGGCTAGGAACAGTTAGGCTAGGAACAGTTAGGCTAGGAACAGTTAGGCTAGTAACAGTTAGGCTAGTGACAGTTAGGCTAGGAACAGTTAGGCTAGGAACAGTTAGGCTAGGAACAGTTAGGCTAGTAATAGTTAGGCTAGTAACAGTTAGGCTAGTGACAGTTAGGCTAGTAACAGTTAGGCTAGTAACAGTTAGGCTAGTAACAGTTAGGCTAGTAACAGTTAGGCTAGTGACAGTTAGGCTAGTAACAGTTAGGCTAGTGACAGTTAGGCTAGTGACAGTTAGGCTAGTAACAGTTAGGCTAGTAACAGTTAGGCTAGTAACAGTTAGGCTAGCAACAGTTAGGCTAGTAATAGTTAGGCTAGTAACAGTTAGGCTAGTTACAGTTAGGCTAGCAACAGTTAGACTAGCAACTTCCAAACTAGAACTCAACTGAACAAAGAATTCTGAACATCAGCGGTGAGTGACCCAAACAAACTTTTTCTCACATTAACACAGTATTTTTGTCATGAAAAAGTGAACAGATACTTCTGAAAACCTCCGTGCACGTGTGTGAAGAATGTATATGTATAATGTATTCTTGCTATTTGCGTTTATTGAGCGTGGCTAGCTCCGATTGCTTCTCTCGCAGAGACAGTAGTAGCGACGAGGTAATCTACACATCTGAATTACAAGCAGAGAGTGCGTTGCCAAAGGGCAGCGGTCAGTATTGTTTTGAGAGGTCCGTGATCAAGAAATAATGATCGGTAGAACGTTTTGAAATAACATTCAAATCAATGGAGCGTTCTCCTGCTGCTGTGAGAGCCGTGTAATAAGAGAAATAATGATAATAATAATAATAATAATAATAATAATAATAATAATAAGGTTTTATATTTAAGATTAAGATTGAGATTAGGAGAGTCAAATAAAATGTAATATAATGTCAAACCCATGGGCTAAATTAAATAATTTGATTACACAGCTCAATGGCAGTAAAGCGCTCCACTGATTTGAATGATATTTTACCGGTCATTGGTTCTTGAGAACGGACCTCTCAAACCAATCAGGAAAACTGCCGTGGCAACGCAATTTGACACTTTTTATTGTACATTCCTTGCGCCAAATGTGACGCATGTAAAGTCCCCACTGTGAGATCAATAAAGTTTATCTTATCTTGTCTTGACTCAGGTCTGTAAGATTACTCCGACAGTAGTCCGGCGACTTCGTCACAACGGGCTTTCAGCGCCTGTCACGACTACTGCCTCTAGTTTAACATTTTAATGTTAATGGGAGAATACATTATACACATACATTCTTCACACACGTGCACGGAGGTTTTCAGAAGTATCTGTTAACGTTTTCAGGACAAAAATACTGTTTTGAAGCATCAAAAAGCGAAAGTAACTAATAACATTAGTAGAACATTTTAGGACACATCTGCAGAGGATCTGTTTATGGATTTAGGTTAAGTTTATATTTGGGTCAGAATTCTTTGTTCACTTTTCATGTAGTTCCAGAGGTTTAAACTTCACAAAAGTATATTTTAGATTTAGTTCCTATCTCTCCACAGTTGAAACCATAGAGGACTGTGGAGCGCCGTGAACAGATGTGTTTTCAGACCCGGTTTGAATAATCGGAGGGAAAGGAGAGAGCGGAGGTCAGGTGGGAGCCGGGGGCAGAGTGACTGAATGTTTTACCCCCCATGGTGCCGCCGTCTGTTTACCACGACACAGGTCTCATCCAACATTACATTTGATACAGAACTAACAACTACATGTATTCACCCTGGATGGAAGAATCTGTTGTTCTTTTGTTTTGTTTTGTTTTTTAACTACTGGCCTCCTGCTGGGACTCTGACTCTGAGGAGCACAGAGACTGGCCTCCTGCTGGGACTCTGACTCTGAGGAGCACAGGGACTGGCCTCCTGCTGGGACTCTGACTCTGAGGAGCACAGGGACTGGCCTCCTGCTGGGACTCTGACTCTGAGGAGCACAGAGACTGGCCTCCTGCTGGGACTCTGACTCTGAGGAGCACAGAGACTGGCCTCCTGCTGGGACTCTGACTCTGAGGAGAACAGGGACTGGCCTCCTGCTGAAGATTCTGAGGAGCACAGGGACTGGCCTTCTGCTGGGACTCTGAGCACAGGGACTGGCCTCTTAAAGATAGAGATTCCTACTGCTCTGTAACTGGAGATGCAACACTGACATTTCCCCACAATGGAACGATTGTCTAAAAGTCTAAAATCTAAAAAGTGTATATCGTGTCCATGTTGTCTGTATGGGTTCCAATGTAAAAACAGTTGATGAATGCTGGATTCTGTTTGTAACCTGGTATCCGCGCTGGATTCTGTTTGTAACCTGGCATCCGCGCTGGATTGTGTTTGTAACCTGGCACCTACGCTGGATTCTGTTTGTAACCTGGCATCCACGCTGGATTGTGTTTGTAACCTGGCATCCACGCTGGATTGTGTTTGTAACCTGGCATCCACGCTGGATTGTGTTTGTAACCTGGCATCCACGCTGGATTCTGTTTGTAACCTGGCATCCACGCTGGATTCTGTTTGAACCTGGCATCCACGATGTATTGTGTTTGTAACCTGGCATCCACGCTGGATTGTGTTTGTAACCTGGCATCCACGCTGGATTCTGTTTGTAACCTGGCATCCACGATGTATTGTGTTTGTAACCTGGCACCTACGCTGGATTCTGTTTGTAACCTGGCATCCACGCTGGATTGTGTTTGTAACCTGGCATCCACGCTGGATTGTGTTTGTAACCTGGCATCCACGCTGGATTGTGTTTGTAACCTGGCATCTACGCTGGATTGTGTTTGTAACCTGGCATCCACGCTGGATTCTGTTTGTAACCTGGCATCCACGCTGGATTCTGTTTGTAACCTGGCATCCACGCTGGATTGTGTTTGTAACCTGGCATCCACGCTGGATTGTGTTTGTAACCTGGCATCCACGCTGGATTCTGTTTGTAACCTGGCATCCACGCTGGATTCTGTTTGTAACCTGGCATCCACGATGTATTGTGTTTGTAACCTGGCATCCACGCTGGATTGTGTTTGTAACCTGGCATCCACGCTGGATTCTGTTTGTAACCTGGCATCCACGATGTATTGTGTTTGTAACCTGGCACCTACGCTGGATTCTGTTTGTAACCTGGCATCCACGCTGGATTGTGTTTGTAACCTGGCATCCACGCTGGATTGTGTTTGTAACCTGGCATCCACGCTGGATTGTGTTTGTAACCTGGCATCCACGCTGGATTCTGTTTGTAACCTGGCATCCACGCTGGATTCTGTTTGTAACCTGGCATCCACGCTGGATTGTGTTTGTAACCTGGCATCCATGCTGGATTGTGTTTGTAACCTGGCATCCACGCTGGATTCTGTTTGTAACCTGGCATCCACGCTGGATTCTGTTTGTAACCTGGCATCCACGCTGGATTGTGTTTGTAACCTGGCATCTACGCTGGATTGTGTTTGTAACCTGGCATCTACGCTGGATTATGTTTGTAACCTGGCATCCACGCTGGATTGTGTTTGTAACCTGGCATCTACGCTGGATTGTGTTTGTAACCTGGCATCCACGCTGGATTGTGTTTGTAACCTGGCATCTACGCTGGATTGTGTTTGTAACCTGGCATCCACGCTGGATTCTGTTTGTAACCTGGCATCCACGCTGGATTCTGTTTGTAACCTGGCATCCACGCTGGATTCTGTTTGTAACCTGGCATCCACGCTGGATTCTGTTTGTAACCTGGCATCCACGCTGGATTGTGTTTGTAACCTGGCAACCACGTCTGCCTCTATACTGTCTACATTATGTCACATTTGTGAGAATAAACTATAATTGTGTTGTGCATAAACAATCTTCGGCGGGATGTCTTACCTGGCGCCCACGATCAGCTCGTTGCGGCCGAGGTCGAGGGTCAGCTGAGAGAAGTCTTTGACGTCTGAACGAGAAAACGAGGAGATCCACGGCCTCAGAGCTGCAACACAAACACACAGAAGCCGATCACAGACTCATTCTTCTGCGGCTGTTGAAAAGTGTCTTGCCTAAGGACACGGTGAGAGTTTGGCACCACTGAGGTCTCCCATCACAGTACTAACCACACCCTGTCCAGCTTAGCATCAGTGGTATGGTCACTTCTTCACATGTGTAGAATCTTGTCATCGATTCATAGAAAAGCCTATTTAAATCACACATTAGCACCGAAATCATTACCTTCAAGTATTTCACACAAAAATCATAAAAGAATTGAATGAATAATTATTTTTATTTTTTTTTGGTTTTAGCACTTTTACCGTCAACTGCATCTCACCCATTTAGTAAAGGCTTAGAATTAAAAATAAAATCATAAGGCTTAAAAAGTAGTGTTATAAGTGTCTTACATCTTAGAAAATACAAAAAAGAAACATGACAATTACCACATGCATGGACTAAACCAAAACTGGACCAAAACTAAGAGGCAACCGGAGCACATGGAGGAAACCGGAGCACACGGAGGAAACCGGAGTGCAAGGAGGAAACCGGAGGACACGGAGGAAACCGCAGCACACGGAGGAAACCGGAGCACAAGGAGGAAACCGGTGCACAAGGAGGAAACCGCAGCACACGGAGGAAACCGGAGCACAAGGAGGAAACCGGAGCACACGGAGGAAACCGGAGCACACGGAGGAAACCGGAGCACACGGAGGAAACCGGAGCACACGGAGGAAACCGGAGGACACGGAGGAAACCGGAGGACACGGAGGAAACCGGAGGACACGGAGGAAACTGCAGCACACGGAGGAAACCAGTGCACAAGGAGGAAACCGGTGCACACGGAGGAAACCGCAGCACACGGAGGAAACCGGAGCACAAGGAGGAAACCGGAGCACACGGAGGAAACCGGTGCACAAGGAGGAAACCGGAGCACACGGAGGAAACCGCAGCACACGGAGGAAACCGGAGCACAAGGAGGAAACCGGAGCACACGGAGGAAACCGGTGCACAAGGAGGAAACCGCAGCACACGGAGGAAACCGGAGCACAAGGAGGAAACCAGAGCACACGGAGGAAACCAGAGCACACGGAGGAAACCGCAGCACACGGAGGAAACCGGAGCACACGGAGGAAACCGGAGCACAAGGAGGAAACCGGAGCACACGGAGGAAACCGGAGCACACGGAGGAAACCGGAGCACACGGAGGAAACCGGTGCACAAGGAGGAAACCGGAGCACACGGAGGAAACCGGAGTACAAGGAGGAAACCGGTGCACACGGAGGAAACCGCAGCACACGGAGGAAACCAGAGCACACGGAGGAAACCGCAGCACAAGGAGGAAACCGGAGCACAAGGAGGAAACCGGTGCACACGGAGGAATTCGGAGCACACGGAGGAAACCGCAGCACAAGGAGGAAACCGGAGCACAAGGAGGAAACCGGTGCACACGGAGGAATTCGGAGCACACGGAGGAAACTTTAGTACACATAGGAAACCGGAGCACACGGAGGAAAACGCAGCACAAGGAGGAAACCGGAGCACCTGGAGGAATTCAGAGCACACGGAGGAGGAAAAGTTGCAAACTCAGCTCAGAAAGGCCCTGTTCCGACCGGGATTCAAACCCAGGACCTTCTTACTAACCACTCAGCCACCGTGTCATCAGTTCCTGAAGAGGGTTTTCGAGTCAAACTAAATTATGACACTTTTAAGCACATCATTAAACGACAGAATGTGTTTTACCAGATGAGAAATTATGTTTAAGAAAATGAAACCTTTTTATAACATTTATCTCCACGACTGATTCCATTATTCACTGCAAAAACCTTCATCAAACTTTAAAACCTTCATTTAATTGAAATTAGCTCCGGGCAAAAGAGAAAAAGGTGCACACGGAGGAAACCGCAGCACACGGAGGAAACCAGAGCACACGGAGGAAACCGCAGCACAAGGAGGAAACCGGAGCACAAGGAGGAAACCGGTGCACACGGAGGAATTCGGAGCACACGGAGGAAACTTTAGTACACATAGGAAACCGGAGCACACGGAGGAAAACGCAGCACAAGGAGGAAACCGGAGCACCTGGAGGAATTCAGAGCACACGGAGGAGGAAAAGTTGCAAACTCAGCTCAGAAAGGCCCTGTTCCGACCGGGATTCAAACCCAGGACCTTCTTACTAACCACTCAGCCACCGTGTCATCAGTTCCTGAAGAGGGTTTTCGAGTCAAACTAAATGTTTTATGACACTTTTAAGCACATCATTAAACGACAGAATGTGTTTTACCAGATGAGAAATTATGTTTAAGAAAATGAAACCTTTTTATAACATTTATCTCCACGACTGATTCCATTATTCACTGCAAAAACCTTCATCAAACTTTAAAACCTTCATTTAATTGAAATTAGCTCCGGGCAAAAGAGAAAAAGGACGGAAGTAAAAGGTTTATATATTGTTCTCCGTGAGGATTATTGTGAAGTAAAAAATTGTCTGGTTGTGTTAATATTATGTTTCCATGACGACATCTTCAGTGAGAGAAAAATCCAACAACAAATAAATAAAATAAAAATCTCAAACACAAAACCATTTCATTTAAATGGAGAAAACAAAGCTCTAATGGCGCCTTTGGACTTCATCAGAATTAAAAAATATTTGTTATCGTACGTAACCGGGGAATTGTTTTGGCTCTTGGTGCAAACAAGTTATAAAAAATTACAAAAATACATAAAAAGACATTCATAAAAATAAAAAAGTCTGGCCACGCATTAGTTTAGCCTTCACTAATTAAAAGCTAATTCCGTGCTAATTATTGTAGCCTAAATCTAATCCTAGCTCTACCTCTAGCCCACACAGCAAAGTGACAGTTAATAGTTATTTAAATGTAAAATAGGGACTAAGTGCTAAATAAATACCATTATGAAGCTAATTAACTATATTATACACTAATTAGCTGCTAAGTAATGAGGGCTAAACTATAGTGCAATCAAAACATAAATAAACATATGTATATGGCTACTTAAAGGTATAAAGGAGGATTTTCCCAAATTTTAGGAAAGAGCCGCCCTCTCTGCTTTTTGAATACAACTCTCTGGTCTGATTGGACGAGCTCGTATCACCAGAATGATTGACAGTTGGAAGGACCAATAGTCTTGATGATCCACCCGGAAGTAGAAATCAAATCCTCCTGTATTTCTTTAATATATAACTTACGTGTTGTATAATTGTTCATGTTTTCAATGGATTTTTGTTTAGTTGATCGACAATATTTATTTTTTATATAATCTTTATCAAACGGGAGAACTCTTTGAGATTAATAATCGAAAGAAGAGTCTCATTCACCCTCAGATAAAAGTTGTTCCACCCCAAAACCCTGGTTCCCCTTTTCCATCCGCTCGGCATTTAACCCGTCTTGCGAATTCCAAATATACTGATATTTTAGACCAAAATAACAGCCGTTTTTCTTTACTTGTGGGTAAAACAAATACACACAATTGACACTACTCTGCATAATGACAGCGTAACGAGCCCTGGAGCTGGGTTTGGGGGAGTGAGGCTCCTTGTTTGGGCTCTGGCTACTCTTTCCTTTCGTAAAATTGTCTTTGCAAAAACATGTTAGAAAATGTTTTTATTTCTCCACACAGACAAACAACTTGTTGTAATCCATTATAAAGTCATTTCCTGGGGTCTCTTTTATTAAAAATCTTTCATTTTGACACGTTCCCGTCTTTCTTGTGGTGAAAAGTCAACACAGGTCCAAACAAGACGCCAACCTTTCCTGCTCCCCGATGTCCTGATCGACACGGGTCAAAAAACACGAGGCCGCAGCGTTGAAACCATTCGAGAGGGCAACACTTTTGGGAATTTCTCTTCAACAAACAAAAAAATTCAGGTCTATAGAGAGATATTATTTATGTATATGTATTTTCTTTGTATTAAAACACTCAGAAATGTGGATGGAAAAACACAGACAGAGAGACGAGAGAACGAGAATGTAATCTAAGAAAAGAAGAATAGAAAAATGTGAGCTGTAAAGTGATTTTGCGATCGATAAAACACATTGAAGGAGAAATGCTTTGAGAGAGAGACGCCGCTTCAATGTGAGAAAGTCCACACAAAGAGAGAGATGGACGTTTGTGGATTCAGCGATGACAAAACTCAGAGATCCAGCCCTCAGCAAAAGTGAAAAATGTTCCAAATCTGAGCCAAAAAACCCTAAATCTTCCACTTTTCTACAAATATTGATCCAGCAGAAGAAGAAGAAAAACTCAAACAATTCAGGAATAGACAAGAAGCGTTATCTTTGGAAAAATTGGTTGTTTTTTGGTCAAAGGTCTTGTTGCGGTGAAAACATTATTGATCATTTTTCCAATTCAGTTTCCAGAAGGTTCTGCACACTTAAAATTGACAACTTTGTGGAAAATTCCAGGCAAAGTATTAACATTTCCAGTGAACTACAAGCAAATTACAAACTAATTTGTTTTATATTACAGACACATCCACGCTGGATTGTGGTCGTAACCTGGCATCCACGCTGGATTTTGGTCGTAACCTGGCATCCACGCTGGATTGTGGTCGTAACCTGGCATCCACGCTGGATTGCGGCCGTAACCTGGCATCCACGCTGGATTGTGGTCGTAACCTGGCATCCACGCTGGATTGTGGTCGTAACCTGGCATCCACGCTGGATTGTGGTCGTAACCTGGCATCCACGCTGGATTGTGGTTGTAACCCTGGCATCCACGCTGGATTGTGGTCGTAACCTGGCATCCACGCTGGATTGCGGCCGTAACCTGGCATCCACGCTGGATTGTGGTCGTAACCTGGCATCCACGCTGGATTGTGGTCGTAACCTGGCATCCACGCTGGATTGTGGTCGTAACCTGGCATCTACGCTGGATTGCGTTCGTAACCTGGCATCTAAGCTGGATTGCGTTCGTAACCTGGCATCTAAACTGGATTGTGGTCGTAACCTGGCATCTACGCTGGATTGCGGTCGTAACCTGGCATCCACGCTGGATTGTGGTCGTAACCTGGCATCCACGTCTGGATTGCGGTCGTAACCTGGCATCCACGCTGGATTGTGGTCATAACCTGGCATCCACGCTGAATTGTGGTTGTAACCTGGCATCCACGCTGGATTATGGTTGTAACCTGGCATCCACGCTGGATTGTGGTCGTAGCACTTCCCCCACATACATTCAGACATGCGTAGCAGCCGATAACAAACGTAAACAACAATGGGGTGGGGCGGCAAATGCTAACGTGTGCCGGTAGCGCTACACGGAGGAGAATTCTACTCCTTAATTTTTGCAACTGCTGTTAAACGCAGAATTATTTTGATTATTTCCCGTCTTTGTGGCGGCCTGAGGAGGATGTTGTTGAGGAAGTGAGTATACTGCTGGGGGTCGCGTGTGTTGTGTCGTAAAGTTCCACTGCCCCCTACTGGCCGGGCGCTAGAACTACACCGTTTTCCGTCGTCGTGTAAACGCTGTGCACTTTGAATACGGAGCCTTGTCGTTTTTGCTCATTTCTTTGCAGCGTCTCCGTCTAAACCGGACATCGGTCTCTGCCCCTTTTGGGTCAATGCCTTTTTGTGTTTTTTATTGTTGCATTTCTTGTGTTGGACCTGTTTGATTCTCTGAGCTTTGTAAAGTCCTCAGAGATAACTACTGTTTAATTGTTCTGAATAGGCCATCATATTAAACCTCAGTCTATTAAGTTTTTGTGCCTTCAGGCTTTGTTTACATTATAGAGAGACACGATGATGTATTGGATGGGAGCTACAACAAAGAAGAAAACGCCTGAAGGAGCCAGATTCAAACACTTCAAAAGAGATAATGGCCGGAGGCTTATTTAAAGAAGATTTCTGATTTCTGAGCGAAGTCGTCCCCGTGGATCACCTTCAAGTCTCTGCACGAGGGAATAACATGTTTCTGTCTGTGGGTGGTAATCTGTGACACGTTTGTCTTGTCCCTCCATTCAGTTCTATGTCGCAACACCAGGCGTCTAGGTAGGACTTTGCATAGTTGTAGATTCGCCCATAACAGATCAGAGAATCAAACTGTTCGAACACAGGAAATGCCATAATAACAAAAAAAGGTGTTTTTTTTTTATGTACGGTGATTATTTATGTGTGGGATTATTTCTTGTTTTGTGAGGCACTTTGAGTCAACTTGTGTATGAACTGTAGCTTGACTCTCGCCATGCTCCACCAGAGGAGTTTCACTGAACATCATCAAAAAAAAAAAAACGAACAAACTAAGACACGGATGTCACTGGATGCAATTTGAGGCAAGATGTTGAGGGTTCCGTGTTGTTATATGTTTGTTTAAGAGTAAAATGTTTGTGTAAAGTTTGGATTAAGCACTGTTTTAAGTGTTCTTGTTTACAACACTACGCAGCAGGGTTGCCAGGTTGGGTGGTTTCTCGCATACTTGTGTTCCAAGAGCCTTGAAAGTAATAAATTGACAGAAAGACAAAAACAGAATCATGATAGTCCAAAGTGATTACATTACGTTTTTAGCCAAAAAATCATTCTGGATGTTTTTTGGGGCATTCTTGCGGGTTTTGGGCTGGAAAATCTTGCCGGCATTTGGCAACCCTGCAACGCAGTGAGGAGTCGTGTGCCGAATTGTGTGCTTCGATGTGAGTGGTTGAAGGAACACGTAATTCAAGATAACAGACAAGTGGTTTATCCAATCACAAATAAGGATTTTTTTTACGAGGCCCCACCTTCTGAAATTCAAGCAGACCCAGACCCTTGTGTGAAGCTCAGAGAACAGCAAGGGTCTGGCCAGAGTCAGGCTACATGAGCTGTGCTATCCAGATAAACTCGCCTTGCTATTGTTGTCTATCTATCACCTGTGGCCCATTTTTACATATTTGGCACATTTCACATCTCTCAATTGATGTAAAATTATACACTAAAAGATTATTCCTCACACTTTGCTACTGTATCACGACCGTATTACGCAACACCACTGTCAGAACCTTATTTGTATAACACAGTCCCTACACAGGCATCTCAAAGTGATGAACAAAACAAGATATAAGATCAAATCCTACAGTTGTATTTGTAGCTAAACAGTTTCAATGTGGATTTGAACATTGTCAGAGAAGAAGCCTGTCTCACATTTTAAGGAAGACTATTCGAGATTTTAGAAGCATAAATTTGAACTTGCTGCCTTCTCATGTTTAGTCCTGACCAGTGGGGGAGGGTCCCAGCTCAAAAGTGGCCAAAATGACGTGCGCTGACATGCTGCAATACCACCCCGGGCCGTTGGGGGTGGACCCAGAAGTAGAATTAGCCAATGCTAACATATAGCATTGGCAGACCTCTCAAAAACGTCTTTACAGGATGGACCAAAAGTTGTCTCTTGGCCCAAAGCTCCGTTCCACATGTGTGTCAATGCTGAGGGGGGTGGATTTTTTTGGTCCACTCTAGTTTACTTGCTGTGAATTTTTGAAGTCTCTCGTTCAAATGAATGGAGTTGCGCCGGCTGAAGCTGCGCAGATGCGTTTTTTCACAATTTTCTTGTGGGCGGGACCACTCGCGGCCATTTTGGATTGCTCCATGAAAGCACTTTTCATGGCCAACTCCTATGAACGGCGGAGATAGGCGTGACTCTGTCCCTTAATCTATACAGTCGATGGTCCTGACTCTGAGACCAGCAGGAGGCCAGTCCCTGTTAGGGATGTAAAAAACTATGAATTTTCATGACCGACCACCGAGCCTCATTAACCGGTTGAAACCGGTTAACCGCGTAGTTTAAAATAGTCCACGTTCTTTGAAATAACAGCCATTTCAAGCCGCGTACTTTTCATAAGTGCAGCTCTGCGTTCTACTGGATCAGAGTTGAGACAGCGGCGCCCAAACCCGCAACAGCTCCGGCACCTTTGCGCACAGAGAACTGCTGTTTTAATCTTCCCATTCTGCTGAGCTGCGGGTTAATACCAAAACTTTCTAGCAGCAAACGACGGCTCGTTCACATGGTCAGAGCAGCGAGTGACGAGCCGCGTCTCACAGGTCTTCACAAAAGTTTAAATACAAGTGATGTGTGTGGAGCTGATCCCGAGGACCATAAACACAAACATGTTCCATGTGGTTTGACTGGAGCTGCGTATTTGCGCGAATCCTTTGGGCTCCGCGACACAGAGGAGCGCGACAGACCGGTATGTGTGTGTGTATGTGTGTGTGTATGTGTGTGTATGTGTGTGTGTATGTGTGTGTATGTGTGTGTGTATGTATGTGTGTGTGTGTGTAAATGTAAGCTCCAATGTAGTTCTGACCCGCGCCAGTGTGCAACTTTGACAGTGTGCAACTTCGACTTCAGGGGAGCGCAGCTTGGAGATTGATGAGCACGCGTTTTTGACGTCTCTGCTCTGTTTACCCTTTTAAGCCTTTTAAAGCCTTTTAAAGCCTTTTAAACACGTTTTTACGGTGTATTAGTGTCTTTTGTACACTCTAGTGTTTTTACCTTAAATGCAATGGTTCCAGAGCATCACGTCTTTTAACACAAAGACCCAATCGAAACGCGCTAGCTCGGAGGCTACCACGAGCGCACCACAGACATGGAAAGTGACACTGCAATGACCACGAACGACATTAGTCGCCTCACATTGGAGCTTCGTGAGAGGGACCGTGCCACTATTGCAGACCTCCGTAAAGAAGTCCTTCGCCTCACTGCAGAGCTGCAGGATAAACAGTCACTCGTGTCCAAACTTTTTGATGTCGCTGGCGGGCAGCACTCACGGCTTATGTCACTGAGCGCTGCATACTGTGACACTGTCGTGTGGGAGAGGTCTGTCAGCTCTGGACCCTCCTGTTCTACACCTAAGCGCCCGGTTCCGAATGAGGAACCCGCGAACTGCGAGGAGCCATCCAGCGCCGTGGCCCATGTCCTAAGCCTGTCAAACCGCTATGCAGCACTCTCCACTGACATTCCAGCCCCCTCAGCAGAACCCCTGGACTCTGCAGCGTACTCTGCCGTTCGTGGATCCAGGTCCACTGCGAGAAAAACGCTCCTAAAGGAAGCCGTCCTCAGACGAAAGAGTGGTCATTCCCCTTCTCTGACCCCAGTGCATCACCACCACTTACCTTCACCGGGTCAGCAGCAGCGACCCGAGCCTGCTCCTCTCGCCGCTCCAGCGTCTCCGTGCACACAGCGTGGGTTGCCCGGAGCTGAGAATCAACACCCCCGCTCCCCTCCATGTGTTCAGCAGCGCCCTGGTTCGGACCCATCCCTGGATGAGCCCGCTGGTTCCGGCCATGGACACCGAGCGCCTTCTCCGCGGCTACGTCCACTCTTCGCCCCGACTACTTTGATTGTTGGAGATTCCATCGTGAGACACGTCCGCTTTTTTAACGCGGTCACTCAGTGTTTTCCCGGAGCCACTGTACCAGACCTGCTCATACGTCTCCCTCCTCTGCTTCACTCCCTGCCTGATACCATTTCAAAGGTAATCGTGCATGTGGGGATCAACGACATGAAGCTGCAGCAGTCCGAGGTCACAAAGAAGCATTTTATGGATCTATTCCGTCTTCTCCAGTCCTTCGGGTTGTGTGTTTTTATCTCTGGTCCAGTCCCGACTGTAAACCGGGGAGACTGCTTGTACAGTCGCGTTGTGGCGCTGAATATGTGGCTCCAGTCTACATGCAGCACTTTTAACTTTGTTTTTGTGAACAACTTTGGCCTGTTCTGGAAGCGTCACGTGGCCTATCGTCCAGACGGTCTGCACCCGAACAGATACGGCACCAGT